TCAAAACTCTGTGGGATCATGCCCTTTTGGCGGAGACTGCTCATCAACTCCCACCGGTTCTGTGAACTTCCTGCTTCCCCTCCAATAAACTAGTCCTCTGCTTACATGGTTTGCAACGGAGAACCCTGGCTGACAGGACAACCCATTAATTTACCCAGTAGCAGAGAACCAATGGATCCTAACCAAAATTAGGGCTCCCACAAAGACCCCCACCATGCCCTCCACCTTTAGAGCTCTTGCATTTCTGTTGGTACATTTTGGTGTTTGCAGCAAGGGCTGCTTGACTCCCAAGAAGCCCCACCCTAGGCCATCTGTGCTCCGATGACAGAGAAGGTCTTTATACCCCGTGGCCAGAATTGATGGATCCATGGACCCTGGGATCATGACCTGAGACAAAGGCAGACACTTAACGACTGAGCCACCCAGGCACCCAACAAGAAAACGTATTAAATTCAGGTATCACTGGAAAAGAAAAAGGGTTTTATAAACCACAAGGCATCTTTGGTGAGAAAAACAAAAACAAAAACAAAAACCTTTGAGGGTTAAGGGTTTTTCCCCCCATTGTTTTTGTCTAACTCTACTGTCTGATGTTCCCCTCATCTGCTCACAGCGTTACAACCTCAAGATGTTGATCTTCGAACGCCATGCCTTAAAGAATGTGGTTCCTTTAGGTACATCGATACTGGTGAGGGATTCGAATTGGGTACCTGCTCGCTTTATTTCAAGTGCCCTAAACATCTTAAAAGGCGCTGTTTGCCACTGAAAGTCACCGAGGCCCTGTAGAGAAATGGCTGATTCCCCAACTGGGAAGGGCAGTCTGCTGGAGTTTGAGGCTCATCCTTATGCCAGAGCGTAAGAAAGGGTTAAAAAAAAATGATGGGCCACGTTGTTATGACGCAAGCAGCAGCCTGAAGGGGATTTCATTACACAAACTGAGTACGACGCAAGTACCCCAATGATTAAGTACAGGGATGAAGAAAAAACCAATGAGGGATTCATTAACATGTACTGATGATAATAAATACGCCAGAAAAGACATAAGCCACAAACTTAAAAAAAAAAAAAAATTCACACAGCCCCCCATTCTGAAGCACATTATGGTACAAAAAAAATGAAGCATTTTTACATGAACATCTATTTTGTAGTAACCACAATATTCACATAAAGGGCTAAGACAAAACATAAAAACTCAAAGAAATCTTGCCTCCAAATACCCCTTCTAGCATTCCAGAGCCTCAGAACACCACTTACTGTCCTCAAAAGCTTCTCTTGGTAGATGGGGAGAAGTTGGTGTGTCTCCTACATGAGCCCACATATGGATAGCCATCAACATCCTAACCTCCCCATTTCTTAAGGGTCTACTCAAACGATTCCTCCTCCAGAGGACTCCCCTTCATGCACTGCCTGTATGAAGTTTTATTCTGTATTAAGCACTTATGACCATCCTCCTCCTAAGTTACTTGTGAACACACACCTCCAATTTAGTACTTCACTTACAAATGATCCCAGGCACTGAGCAGTGCCTGGCACTTGGGAAAATGTTGGATTGAACCCAGTGAAGAGTAAAGGAACATGGACATACTTACCATTTCACTCCTTTTCCTCTTCACAGAGCTAGAAAATTCTGTCACTTTCTATGGAGAAAACCACCCTCCCTATGCAATTTCCTCTAATAGACTTTCAGCCTAGGTGCAGGATGATTAGTTTCCAAGGGAGATTCTGTTACAACCAATGCAATAATATTTTAAGGAACTCAGATTTTCACCTATTCTGGTGTAAATAGGGAGACTGAAATCAGCTTATGGCTCAGAAAATATAGGAAACTGAAAGTAAAACATTAATGTTGGTGCATTACCAGGACATTTTAGACAAACTGCTATGCAACCCGTAACTAATCAACTAAAATAGAAAGTAACACCTCATTGGTGGTTCAAAATGCTCAAAAATGGAGTGAAGATAGCGGACACTTATCACTACCAGACAAACCCAAGAGAAACTACTCTGTGGTTTAAAAAAAAAAAAGGTACAGCTAGGGTTTCAGGGTTTGAACCCAGTCTAGCCTCAGAGCTTACATTTTTAACCCCTATGCCAGTGTAAGTTAAATACCAATTCCCCATTATATACTCCTTCCAGACAGTTCCAACATGAGAGTCTGCATTCAAAATTAAGCCATCAGTTTCTAGAAACACTCAACTCTATTAACAACACTTCACTAAACCTCATTTAATATTAAAAATAAAAGGTTCCATTTCTCCCCGCTGCCACCACCGTTTAATTGCATTTATCCAAACACTTTCTTCCTGCACTGAATAGTACTCATTAGGGCTCTTTGCAGAACTACTCTCGTCCTGCTCTTATCTGAGGAACTGATAAGGTATTTCTTTCTACCAAATTCAATCATCTTCTTTATTCCCCACCCCCCCACACACAGCTGAAAGCATCACGTTGACATCTTGCAATTGCTAGCCCAAACCAGATAGCAGCTTTTATCTTTCCCTGTGGACACTGACCTATGCTTTTATTAAGTGTAAGCAGGATACTGCTCTACTGAATGCACTTCGGAAACTTACATCATTTTGTTGCAAAAGCATGCTTCCTTGTGAAAGAGCTGGTGGCTTTCCAGGTCATTCCACCTTCCACGCACTACCCTCAACTCCCATTCACAAAGTGCCGTTTTCACCGGAGGCATCTGAGCAGTGGATTATCTAATTCTGCCATTATAGACTCAGGTGAATTCTGCACTCACACTGCATCACTGGGGACAAAACAGCATCTGCCACATCCTCCTGATCCTTTATCTTTGAAGTCACTGCCTCCTCCTCCATCTTGGGGAGAAATGGAAGTGTGCCCTGCTCCCTGAAAAGAGGGAAGGAAACCCAAGTTTTTAAGTCCTTCTTTGGGGTTCCTGACAGCTCTAAGTGACTGGGTAACTGTTTCTATTGGTTCTTAAGTAACTAACCCTGAGCCAGTATGCTACTCAATGAAAATGAGGATCTTGGGAGAGGAGACAGTGCCTGAGGGGTGCAGGAAGAGGGTTGGGGTAAAGGCCTGGGGGAGGCCAAGAAGATATTCTAGTTACCAGTATTAAACGACCTCCAGGGCAAACATTTCTCCCCTACTTACTCCCCCCCCCCATTTTCCCCCCACCAAAAAACAGGCCAGTTCACCAGTGTCAGCCAGCGTTTGTAAGCTCCTGGGGTGTTCCTGACTCTGAACTTCATACACTGGCACAAATTAACAGCTTCACAACGAAAGAAGGTACAGGCTTCCCTTGAAAAGAACAATTACGCCACCAAAGCCAGGCCTGCCCCTATCATTTGTGGGGCCTGGGGCAAGACTACAAATGAAGGCCCCAACACTTTAAGGTCATCAAGCTAGCCAACTGTCACAGAATCCTTCCCCTTGACAAACGCAGCTTTCTATCCACCTGGAAGGCCAGGTACAATTTAGAGTTTGCGGCCCCTGGGAGTTCTGGGCCAGACACAGGTTGTTTCAACATCCCTGCTAGATGGACACAGTCTCTTCCCTCCCCCACCCAGGCTCCAGCTCTCCCCAGGAAGGCCTCAGGGGCACACCTGTAGACCTTCAGCCTGTTATTTCCAAGCTCTTCCAACACCCCAGCACAGCTGCCCTTCAGCCATTCCTCAGGGAGGAGGTCTGCCTCCTCCCCACTGGCAGAGGCCATGGAAGCAGGCTTGGGGCCTTTGGGAAGGGAATCCCATGGGAATCTGGGGTGCAATATGTATTCTGGGTGGGCAGCCCACTCCACCTGCAGACACCTGTCCCAATGGGGAGGTGGAGGCCAGACACCCTCACATACACCTTCTAAACCCCGGGAGGTGGAGGGGGTGGAATAAAAAAAAAAAGGGTTCCTTGGCTCAGGCCTGAAGCCAATATGAACTAAAAGCTTTCTCCATTTTATCCTAACTAGATCAACTTTTCTTAACTTGAAGCATTCTGGAAGGGTGAGTCCTTATATTCAACATTAATAAACTGTTGTAAGAGGATTCCTGTCTGGAACTGATCAAAGAGTTGAAACACTTCTAGCTATCTGCAAAGATCTAACAATTAATATCCTGGTGTGAATGAAAAGGTAAATATTTCTCAAACAGCAAATGGATTCAACAGGGTTCCAGAAAGTCAGAAAAGGTGGGATCCTTGCCCTAGGCCATAAGGTGGGGAAACCTTAACATTTTCTATCTCTTTTGGAAACTTAAGAGCCAGATAAGTAAGTAGTCAAGGCAGCGGGGGGAGCCAAGTCCAAAGGCTAGGCAGTAGCACACGCCGAGTGGAGCAGAGTGAGGAGGGGAGGTTTGGGCCTGCTGGCCAAAGGGGGTCACCAAAGGGAGACGGTTGGGGTCACAGTGGGGTGAGCGGCTAGGGCTTGGACCTCAGCCCCACTAATGACCTAGTATCTGTTTTGTTTTTTCCCAAAGCAAGTTAACCAATTTTCCAGACCTCCATTTTCAATTCTCCAAAATGGAGAGGTTACAAGATTTGCTTGTTACAGCCCAGGGATGCGGTCCGGACTAAGCACAGTCCACACTTGGTGAGCGCTCACTCAACCACACTTCTTAAAAACTGAGAGCACAGCGATCAGAGCTAGAGCTGCACCCAAAGATTTTCATCAGGCAGCTCCCCGCCACCTACCCCAACATCCAAGGCAGGGCTCTGCAGAAGCTGGGGACAGAAGGATGGGGTTAAGGTTTTAGGGAGCGGAGCAAACAAAGCAGACACTGATCAAATGCTACGTGTCAGCCTGGTTTTGGGTAGGGAAGGGGTGCCTTCGAAAGTCGACCAACTGGAGGGTGCAAAGGACACGTGCGTAAGGCCCCCAAGTTGCCGTCCTCGGAGCCCACACCCCTCCCCACCCCGGGGAAAGGAAGAAGCCGCGCTACAGCCCTTGGGCTCCAGGCCTGGAAGGGATCTGAGCGAAGGAAGCGGCCGGGACCGCGGAAAACGCGTGGCGAGCGGGGTCCGGGGGCGTCCCAGTCACTCACCCAGCAGCAGCAGCTTGAACTCGCGGCGCGCGTCCTTCTTGTCCCGGCGAAGCTGCCGCTCGATCTCCGCGCTGATGCGCTGCGACTCCTTCTCCTCCGCGGACAAGCAGCAGCAGCCGGCCATGGTGCGCGCTGCACCCGACGGCGCGACGCGGTCCCGGGGCGCCCGGATTCTCCGCGGGCCGCTCGCCCGGCCGATCTGCGATAGGCAGCCGCGTTCGGGAAAAAACCAGACAAGGCCGCCTTGACTTTTAGAGTAAGAAGGCTGGCGTCCTGAGGCTCAGTCCCGTCCTCGAGGATGGACTCGGAGGCGGCGGCGAGTTCGGCGCGCTAGGACAGCCGAGCGCCCTGCAGATCCGGGCTCACCAGCCCCACAGCCGGTCCTGGGGAGGAGGAGGGCCAGCCGAGAGGATGGGAGCGCTGCCGGCGCCCGGAAGATGCACACGCCCCTTAGCACGCGAGCCCGACACCCAGTCGCGGGGCGCAGACCACGTGTAAAAAGTTGGGGTGTCGGTGCCGGGGGCGGGAGGTGTTGGCGTGGAGAGCGGGATCTCCCGGTCCTGGAGGTGTCCCAGGCGGGCGACGGGCTCGGCGTGGTTGGAGACAGAGAGCCTAGCCAGTCCTTGCCTGGAAAGTTCCGAAAGTGACCGCGGATTAAGACTGAGCGTAAGGGTTCCAGCGGGCGCTAGTGGCTTTAAGTGGCAGAAGGAGGCGGAGCGTCTCAGACCTGCAGCCCTGGCGTCTGCCCGGGTCGGCCTTCGGGGCGCGCCAGCCTGAGGGTGCCCGGGTGCGAAAGGGACCAGCCAGGAGCTGGGGCGCGGAGACCCTGGGGGCAGCCCCCACACGTGCTTACCTGGCCGCGAAGCCCTTGCACCCGGAGGGCTGCGTGCCGAGGTGGCGCGCTCTGGCCCGGGGGCCCCGCTTCCTGCCCAGATACGGGTTCTGACAGGTGCGTGAGTTTTGCCAACTTCAGCCTCAACTCCTCCCAGCTGCGAGGAGATCGGGACGGAGCCCAGCGTCCGCCCCCGGCCGCGTCGCACCAGGGGCCAGGTGGACCTCTCCACCCCCGCCGAAGTGGAGGCTTGCACGTCGGCGACAAGACCACACACCCCTGGTTTCCTAGACGGGCTCCCTCCGCTTCCCGGCCGCTTCGGCCCAGTCCAGCCCCAGTTTGGCCTGAGCCCTTGGCCCGCTGGGCAGCCTGCCTGCAAGGTGCGGCTGAACTTGACCCTGCAGGCAGCTGCCACGGGGTTCAATTAAATAGGAGAACGCCAGAGCGGAGAGTAAATACCCTCCCGGCCCCTTCCCCGGGCACCTGGTGAGGAGGGCTGGGCTTGGGGGAAGTGGAAAATGGCTGGTTACTTTGCATTTTATGAGGGGAAAGACTCCCGCTCTGTAGAGAGGGCTGACAAGCTCCTGGCCCAGCCCTGAATCCTGACAGTCGCCGCCTTTGCAAAGGTGCGCCCGCACCTCCACGTTGACCCCCCCCCCTCCTGGAACGTCGGGAGCCTGTTTGAGCCACGTCAGAAAAACTTAAAACTTAAAAAGCAACTCTTCGTACTCAAATGCTACAACAGAATGCATATGACAACTTCTGATTTTTGTCTCCCGTGGAAATAGGTTTTGAATCAGAGCACGGAGAGGTCTACGGGAAACGCAGAATGAGGAAGGTGGAGGGAGGGGATCCCGTCGTCCACAGCAATGAATGTTTTTTCCTTCTCCTTCTCAAGTTACTGGATGCCCCTAAACACTTTATGGCGTTAGGCAATTAGCGAATGCCTTCTCTGTTAAGAGAAGGCGTTAAGTGCCTTTCATATGAGTGACATATACTCCATTAGTTCAAACTGAGGAGCGTATTGAGTGGAAAGGTGGTATTTGTCATTATATAAGAAACTTGGCATTGTGATGCTATCTGGCTTCAAGCTTTTATGATTTATTTTACGGTTTCGAGAATGGGAACGAATCAGGCATTAAAAATGAATGTGCTTACATTCTTCAGCGCGCTCTTCTCCCCTGCAGGCATAAACTGACACTAACAGTGACCCCTGCAGGAAACCTGGACATTTCTCATCTGATCCTTGCCCAATTAATCACACTCGTCTCCCTTAGCTCTTACAGATAAATTTACAACTTGAGAATAAGACCTCTTAAGCCAAGAGCATCACCATTATTGATATTTTTAAATGATTACAATCATTTGTGTTTTAAATGATTAAAATGATGACGTGATTTAAGTGACGTAAAAGGGCTAATTTGAAGTCCAGGTTAGCTGGAGCGACTGACCTGTTGGGCCCAATGTTGCTAAGATTCCAAAAAAGATATGAGACCTGTCGCTTCTAGCAAATCTGAAAAACGTCCCTGAGCTGGTCAGCTTGGCAGTATGCGTCAGAAGTCTTAAATGTATCCACCTGCTTTGACCAGTTAGTAATTCTTTTCTTGAGAAATAATCAAAGGGAAGTCATAATTTACGTACAAAAGTTTGCTTCCAATAACAATAACCCAACACAACCTGAATGCCCAACAACAGGGCATGATATATACATGCATAAGAGATGATACATGCATACGATGAGATATTATAACAATCATTAAATATTTGAATAGGTAACATATATGAATACCAAGTGAAGATTTGGAGGGAAACCTCATAATATATTGAGTGACAAAGTCAAGATACAAAAATATAAACAGTATGATACAAATTTGATTATGTAACAAACTTGTTATGGAAATAGGCATACACACTTTTAAGAGACCAAAGCGGCATCTACCAACAAGGTAAGTCGCTCCAAGTCATGGCTTTTTGGTTGATTAATAATTCTCTGGTGTAAGATTGTTTGGGGGTAGCTCATATAAAGTTATCAAGGCCCCCCTTTCTTCAACTGCAAAATGAGAGGGATATACCAGAATAAGCTCAAAGGGCTCTCCCAACTCTGACATTCAATTATTTCTTCAGTGATTCTCACACTTAGAAGATAGTATGAAAAATAATAATAAACAGAAATTTGTTATTGAGCAATAGTAACTAGTAAGAACTATAAAATGAGAATATCACAAGACAATTATTTTTATATCTATTTTTTATTAATGTCTCTATTTTCTTGATCTTTAGGATCTGGGGGCTGGATGAGAATAAGTTACTGAATCATTTGCGACATCTTTCCAGGAAGGGGTAATTTGGGAAAGAGGCTTTAGTAAAAGAGGATATTTGTTTTCCTGCGTTATTCCCAACGTACTGCAATTCCATTTCATCCCTGTTGAAGATGAGAGCGCAGCGTGGACATGAGTTTCAGCTATCTGGCAAGTGCTGGGTACGTAGATGAGCTCTGTGTCTGGGAGTCCTCTGAATGTCCGCTGATTCCACGCCAGACCCTGGACCTGGGCCATTTCAGATACAATTCCAGACTTCAGTTAGGTTATAAGTCTAGTAGAAGGGAGTTAAGACCGAGCCCCTGAAATCTGAACCCATCCCTCCTTGCTCCCTCCCGGAGAGTGGACAGTGAAAGCATGGAGTCATTGGAGTGGCTGTCCGCGGCCCACAGATGTGCAGAGTGGGCTCCTCAGCTAACCTCCCCCTTCAGCTAAGCCTCATTCACCTCCCGTCACTCCAGACAAATGTAACTACGTGTTCTCCCCACCTCCATGCCCTGACGTCTGCAGTTTCCTCTTCCGGGAAGGCCAGCTCTCTTTCCAGGAAAAGTTTGGGACTTTCTCTCCTAAACACATCGACTTGGAGACCCCATCTCCACTCCTTGTCAGGTGGACCCTTCTTTCTCTCCTGCCTGAGAAACCTTCTATGTTCTTCTCTCCCAACTTCTCCCTCTATTACACTTGTTCGATTTTTCTCCCAATGAGTTACTCTGTACGTAGAGAGGTTTTCTTGTTCACCCTCTTATTTCTAAATGAATAAGATTAGTCAGTTGAATAAAGTTGAGATTAAAAAGAATTTGCCTGATATAAGAAAAAGAAACTAGAAGAGAGAAAAGGAGGCTCTTGTAGTCAAAGACAGTGAAAAACCGGGCGCCTGGGTGGCTCAGTGGGTTAAGCCACTGCCTTCGGCTCAGGTCATGATCCCAGGGTCCTGGGATCGAGCCCCACATCGGGCTCTCTGCTCGGTGGGGAGCCTGCTTCCTCCTCTCTCTCTCTCTGCCTGCCTCTCTGCCTACTTGTGATCTCTGTCTGTCAAATAAATAAATAAATAAAATCTTAAAAAAAAAAAAAAAAAGACAGTGAAAAACCAATCAACAAGTCCGTAAGAATCCATGTATCATTTAGGAAACACTTGTGTATTAGTAAAGTGACTCCAGCTTGCCTGCTTAGAGGAAATGACTGCCTGGTATCTAATTCAGAACTTCAAGGAACTGTGCTAATAGAGGGCTGGAAAGGTGCCGTTCTCTTTGACAAATGTAGCAGCTTAGAATTTTAACAAGTAACCTAGAGTAAAAATATGACCTTGAAGTTCACAAAGCTAAACTAGCACTAATTTTAATGGACGTATGCTGCTTACTACTCTTTGGCAGTGTTTTTCAAACTTCAGTTGTGACCCATCCCTGGTTTATGACCCACATTTTTTTTTTTAAAGAAAATACAATAGAAATAGAAAATTTCAAAATATGTTGCTGTGTGTTATTGCATGAAATTTTTGTTTCAGTTGTATACGTGAGTATTAACTTTTTAAAAAGATTTTATTTATTTATTTATTTATTTATTTATTTATTTATGAAAGAGAGAGAGAGAGGAGGGAGGAAGGGGCAGAGGGAGAGGGACAGAGTCTCGAGAAGATTCCACACTGAGTGCAGAGCCCAACGTGGGGTTCTCAATCTCAGGACCCTGAGATCATGACCTGAGCTTAACCAACTGTGTTACCCAGGTGCCCCTACATGAGTATTAACTCTTAAGCAGACCAGTTATCAGTGGGGTTTGCCTATAACCGAGAAGGGTGGTCTAAATGATTCCCAATTTTCTGATTCATTTTTCAAAGTTTATAATTTTTCATTCAATTTTCTGAGCCCATTGTGTTCTCTGTAATGTTTTAAGTCTTTCTCCCCACTCTCTACTTTTCCCCTACCCCCGACCCAACCACCTCTTCTTTCAGATGAGTGTGATAGGTAAGAGTCAATGGAGTCATGATGATTACTTGGATGAAGGTGATAATTATAGTGTGTGGTTGGGTGTATTCAATATCTATGTTTCTAAGGCAGCCAACGTGTCCACACATTACTCCAAAATAGTCTCTGCCTGAAAACCAGAGACGGTTTATTATATGCCTTCTTTTTTTTAAGATTTTTAATTTATTCATTAGAGAGAGAGAAAGTGAGCATGAGCTGGGGGGAGGGGCAGAGGGAGAAGCAGACTCCCCAC